TATATATATATATATATATATATATATGTGTGTGTGTATGTATATATTTTTTTTCACAACTGTGGTAGGCAGAGGTGATTAATTGATTGCTTTATTTATGCTTAGGGATACAGTGTTTATATCTGTGGGTGCTTTAAACTTTGCTGCCTCATTAAATGTTAGCTGATATAATCTTCTATTCGGTTTATCATCAGTTGTGAATAACCTTTTATTCTATATCTTTCTAGATGTCGGCATGAAAATATTGTGAAACTGCTTGGCTTTGCAAATGATGGTGACCATTGCTGCTTGGTTTATACTTATATGTCAAATGGCTCTTTGCTGGACAGGCTAGCTTGCCTGGTATGTAGCCAACTGAGTCTTTCACTTGCACATAACCTCTGTGCACATCACTAGAATTAAAGACACTTAGGCAAAAATAAAAAAAAATGTGCCTAGACATCTATTACTAGCAGCTACAGGAGTGGATAGCAGGACTCTGCTATTGTGAGGGTCAGTAGGACAAAGAGAATGCAATTATGGCTGGCACTAGCGACCACAATGCGCACCTACCTTGAATAAATAAGTGACAAGTCATAGCAGACAGCAGAATCAAGACAGGGAACTTTACCCAGAAGTTGTTTGATAGAAGTTGTTTAATAAAAATGGTAATTCCAAACTCTGAAAACAGAGAGACCACGTTAATAAATGTGCACATGCATGGGCCTTGAGAATTGAGCACACAGGAGAGAGTGTGTTGTACAAAATGTACTTTCTGTATAAGAGCCCTCTGTAGCCTTTGCCTTTAACTCAACTCAGTGTATTCACCAAGTCTGATACTGAATAGAAAGAAGAAAGTATTGATTGTCTTCTCATACCCTTTCCCTGAGAGATGTTGGTGAATAATTCTGGACCGGCGAACATTATTATGAATAATTTAGAGCATGCCAAATGCCTTAATTCGACAGCTAGACAAATAATCTACTTATTTAATATCTCTTGACTACAAGCTGGACAATAAAAGAAAAGCAGTACAAACAATCATGGGTGGAAGCGCTATACCGGTTTATTAATTTACAACATATTTATAGTACAAATGTGTTTCTGTTTCAGAATAACACGGCTCCATTATCCTGGAATACAAGATGCAATATTTCAGTAGGAACTGCAAAGGGCATTAAATATTTACATGAAAACAATCATACTCATAGAGACATAAAGAGGTAGGCAAAATGACCCTATCATTTCTGAAACGCTTATGTTTTTAAAACTATTCATGTTTCTGAAACTGACAGGAAATGTTTCTGCTAATGATTGCACTGGTACCGGTTTTTCCGTATAGAGTAACGATATTTTTTTTTCCGGTACTCGCCAATATCGATACTGGAAGTCCCAGTAAGGAAGCTGGGTGGCGTGTAATAACTCCCCACCTGGCTTCTTGATTAGCCGGGAATCTTGCTCCATTCTCCCTCGTCACTAGGTGACGAGAAGGCATGAAGCCAGCTTTCTGGCCAATCAGGAAGCCAGAGGGGCGGGCAATGACTCACCGCCCAGCTTCCCGACCAATCAGGAGGCTTATGTGCCATCTAGCTTTCTGATTTGGCCTGAAAGCCAGCTTCAAGCTCCCTTTATTACCAAGTGTAATGACTAGCCGCCCAGCTTCCTGATGATGGAACTTCCGGTAGCGGAGCATTTGGGCGAGTACGAGTACCAAATACTCGGTATCGGCATCGGTGCATCCCTAGTTTCTGCAAAACAGCTTTTAGATTTGTGTTTATTTCTGCTCAGGCATTATGGTTTCATGATGGTTTTTCTACATTGTCTTTGCGTAAGCTGTTCTCTCAGTATTATATAATAGAGGTGACTGATCAAGGGCTGATTTACTAAAGGCAAATAGGTTATTCACTTTGCAAGGGAATTTTCTCCTAAACGTAGTGAATAAGGTTAAGCTCTGACATCCAGTCTTGTAAAAGGAAAAATACATTTGTTTCCTTACATGATATGGGTGATGGGTATTCCTTCTAGATTGAATTTTCACCATAAAGCAGTAGATTTAAGGATAAGTCTTTCTGAAAGGTGATTTATTTATTTTGTATTTGTGTGCATGCTTGAAATTACGGTATAGATTTATCGCACATGTACTGTTAGGTTGCGTATTGGGATGCTTCAAATAATATAAGCTGTAAAATACTGTATTTAGCTCTTAAATACTGTATTTCAAAGTTCAATAAAGCAGATACATTGCTTATTAACCATGGGCCATATTATTTTGCAAAGGGTTCATGTCATTTGCAAAACAGTGAGTTTTGTTTTTCAGTGTTTAGTTTGCTTTACTGTTAATATAACTTTAACATGAAACAAATATTCATATTGGAAAGCTTTATTTGACCCACAAAAGCGTGGCTGCCTTACAGAATACAAAATGGTATTAATGGTCAGCACTATAAAGCAAAAATTGCTCCAGTTCCCAAGTTGTTTGTTTTTTCTCATTTAATGCTATAAATGTAAATGCATATCCCGAAGAAATCAGTGGAGTGCTCTCTAATCCTTTCATGTTGTTATATGTTGCACTGCTTTTGAAAGCCAGTTCTAGAAAACTGATGCTGAATGTGAAAGGACTCGGCCCTTAACAGGCTTATGTGTCTCAGGCTAACTCACAAAAAGGAAATGGCATATTTGCTTTTAGTCAATCAACCCCACAGCCACATATATTGTATCATAGCAGAGATTCTGTTTTGTTGCAAGGGTAACTTACCTAAACACCATACATTGCAAAAGATTTAGGTGTCTATATGTAACCTTTTTGCCCTGTTTTCAAAGTGTTACTTCTTAAGCAGCCACCAAAAATCATGTCACACCACCTTGTGTCTGCGTTTAGTGCTAGATTCCTATTAGTCTATGGTAGCAGCCAAAGGTGCTGTAAGGTATAAGATCGGGGAATTGGGACAGAAAGGTAAGCACAAGGTCTGGCTTTTTATATCGCAAAATCTGATCATTATAAATGAAAGGGGCACTTATTATAGCTCATTGCTGCTGCAGGTCAGACTTGGTAGTTGCAGATCACGGCTCACAGACCTTCCGCAGACCCAATGCACTTGATGAACGTCCAAGAAAGAATGCACGTGTCAAAAGATCCTTTCCAAAAAACATTGGGGGAAACTTATCAAAACTGGAGCAGAAGAATCTGGAGCAGTTGCCTATGGCAACCAATCAGCTTCTCTCTTCCGTTTGTACAGTTAAGGTTTAAAATTGAAAGATGGATTTGGTGAGACACTATCACATTTTTCAAGCCCTGTATATATATATATGAATTGTTTACAATTATTGATCAGACATAACAAGCTCAAAAGTTTGCATTGATTTAATTTCACAACTTTGTCTCAGGATTGAGGTTCCCTGACAGAGAACATTGGTAAATCGGTTACCCATCATGTTAAAGTTTATACCAAAACGTAACCATCATTTTTTGGAATCGCACTTACTAAAAGGATTGCACAACATGATCATAATATATTTTATTCTTCCGTGTCCTGAAATCTTTTTTTTTTTTTCTTTTTTTACCTAGTGCAAATATCCTTCTCGATGCTTATTGTACCCCCAAAATATCAGATTTTGGGCTTGCAAGAGCAACTGGGCAACATGCTCGTACTATGATGACGGAAAGAATTGTTGGTACTACAGCTTATATGGCCCCAGAAGCCCTGCGAGGGGAGGTCACTATAAAAGCTGACATATTTAGTTTTGGTGTGGTAAGTAACCGTATAGAAATTCGATTGGAGGCATTGATTGTTTCTAATTCTTTATAAATTGAAGGCATAGTCATTTACTCAAAACCTAGAGAGGAGAGTGAGAGGCTGTATTCACACCTAAGCGACACCTATTACGCACGTCTTTTCTGAGCTGCTTTTGCGTGCGATTTACACACGTATGTTAACTCGCTCGTTTTTTTGTGAGCAGATTTTGGCACAATTATGTGAATGGGCAAAAGCGTGCAAAAATAATCGAAACTTGCATTTCTAAGCGTTTTCTATTGATTTTAGAGCTAGTTCACACCATGTGCAGTTGTGATGCAGTCTGTTCAGTTTGGCTGCTGCAGCCAAAATACATCACAGTGCTTTCCTATGGTATTTCTGGTGCTCTATTCACACCAGTGCAGTCCGTTCCGATGCAGTCAGAAAAAAATACTGCTTGCCCTGTATAGCTGCATTTGGATCACAACGGAAAGCATCTCAAACCCCCTTCCAAAAAAAAAAACACATAACGCAACATTTGTGGTAAAATCGCGTCACAACGGATCGCATTGCCGCTGCGCAGACGCACACAGTTCTCATGTGAACTAGCCCTTATGGGACAAAACACGCTGAAATCTGCCTCAAAGTAGCTCATGTTCTCTTTTGCGCAACAGGTGTTTTTAGGCATGTAACGAAACGCAAAGGTGTAAACGGGCCATAGAAAAAAATATTTTTATGACCGTTTAAACTAGCCACACACGTTGCTCCAGAAATGATCACATTATTGTTTGTTAAATGTCCACAATGTTGGTTCTCCTCTAACTTCTCACACATTTCATACAGAATTTCCACTGGTTACTTTTAATTGATCACATGTAAATCCATACAGCTGTATTTTTCCAGGAGATTATTTGATATTCTAGTTTGAAAATGAAAACATGTACATGGACATTTCTGATTGCCTTGATTCTGAAATATCACCACATTTTACAATCTAATCTTGTGAATGTGGACATTTTCCTTTGCTTGAATGATCCAACAAGACATATTTCATATTGTACTGAGATAATGGCCACAGGTTCAGGGATTAGTATGAAATGTAATAGGTATTCAGATCATTACATGTGTGACCAAGTAAAGCTGGCCATGCACTGTGAATTTGGCGGGTTCTTGAAGAAGGCTCTGTTGGCAGCATTTGATTGGCTGCTTCAGTGTTCATCTGAAAATTTTCCAATTAGCTGCTGTCACTGTTTGAATATTCTGACAGCAGTATCCCCACCGCTGTCAGAGTACAGTAGCTCAGCGGGAAATTCGTCTATCTACATTGTTTAGCTTGGATGGAGGAATCTTTTTTTTTTTCATTCAGCCTGCAAGTTGCACCAAAAAAATATAAGTGCATTGCCAGCTTTAGAAGGACTCAGAAAGTTAAGTGTTAAAGGCATTCATTAAATTGCAGTATAATGAGGCAGGAATTAGATCACTTTAAAGGCTAAGTGTAGGTTTTAGACCATGTTAGGGTGTACATGAAGCATCGTCACATATATCCGCTCCAAAACCAAAAACACCCACCACTCCCCTTTACCTGAATTGTGGGGGTGCTTCTTGATACAGAATTTTGAGATTTTTTGAATTTAGCGGATCATCCAGGTATGGGATCACTCAAAGTAATTTTTGCTATGGGTCCCATCTGCCACCCTGGCAGGGGGACTTTCCAAAATGTGCCGATGTGTGTGCCAAGTTCTCTCTAAAGGTGCCCATACACTGCTCGATTCTCATACGAGAATCGCGGGAAATCCCGCGATCGTACGAGAATCGAGCAGTGTGAACGGAGACGTGCGACCGTTTCTACTGTACGGTCGCACGTCTTCCGTCGAACCGGCATGTTCGAAAACCAGCCGGGAATCGTACGATTCTCGGCTGGTTAGAACGGTGCTCGGAAGACAAATGCCGAACGGGCCGGTGTGCGCACGCGCACACTGCCCGTTCAGCATTGCGGTCATCGGAAGCCCGCCCCTCAGGGGGGCGGGCTTGCGATGATCGAGAGTGCGATCTGCCTGTCCAAGATAGGCAGATCGTACGTTTTTTTAATCCCTGTACAACCATCGCAAGACTAAGGTCTTGCGATGGTTGTAGAGTGTATGGCCACCTTTAGAGCAAGGTGGAGCTTTTAGAAAAGCGTCTGTCAATTATCTTCACGCGTGTTCTAAGGGATAAATTACAGGCATGTGTCTAGGCTGGAGGAGGGTGGATAGATGCAGAAGCGTGTTGACACCACACCAATATGTAACATAGCACACTTCTTCCAGCCCCAACACAGAAGGTCCTTATCTCCATATGGACTTAAGGCTGGGGGAAAACATTGCAGGATTGCGGTTGCAGTGCTCTACAGACTTTACTGCAAAAATTGGTAAATGCACATTTTTAGTACAGCAATGGTGCTGCATTTACTATTGTCTTTATTTTTTTGCAAAAGGGTAGACTAAGACATGCCTGAAATGCAATTAAGATGAAATAAGGAGTACCAAGAGGTGCAGCTGCACGGCTGGCATTGACTCTAACCTGTTTTGCCCTTTGTGGGCAAAGCACATATTTAATTTAAAAATGGACTATGAAATAAATCAAATGTGTTATCACTAATAATTAATATTCATAGGTGTTACTAGAAGTTATCTCTGGACTCCCCCCATTTGATGAGACACGAGACCCTCCATTATTGGTAAGCGTTCTTTGCTCAATAATTTATCATTTAATTAGATTTTTTAGTTATCTTTTAATTTATTTTATTCAGGGAAATATTTAAGCTGTCCTTTTGTGGTTTTGGAAATAAAACTACTTGGTATAAGTACTTAATGTTTAATGGCAAGAAACATAGAAATGGCTATTAGTAACTCAGATTTAAATTTAGATTTCATGTTTCTATTGTGAATAGAGAAGCTTGTTGGCTCATAGCTATTGTAGCTGCCAGATTACAGAACCTGCTGACAGAGATCATAGAATCCACAGTAAATGAGTGTAACAGAAGTATCGGAGTCGGAATAGGGTAGCGAATGCATGGTAGATATAGGCAGTTGGTTGGGCTGCCACTGAAGTGAATCTATTGCTTTTGCTTGGGAAAAGCACAATATGCTATAAGGGAAAATCTCCTAACTACATACGGTCTGTCTGCAAACACTACTAGGAATGTATGTCTTCCAATGTGGCGTTTGATAATGTGCACCTTTTAATCAATAAATAAATATATTTTGTGATGTACTACCATATAATGAAATGGCCTTATACTATTTTTTTTTTTCCATCTGCATGGTGGATACCTGCTATTAAAACACATCCTTTGTACACAGCCACACAATTGAACACAGTAGGAGTGTTTATATATATAAAAAAGCTGGCCTATAGCCAGCAATCGGATGTTGGCACTTTTTTGTCTAACATGCAATTAGTACAGATCTGGCCCTAAGGCTTATAACTCCTTTATGTTGTCTTTTTTTTTATCATGTCCTCCCAATACCACCATATGTGAATTTTCTGACTTCAGTATTTGCTAAATAGCTTCAGTAGCTCCCTTACTGGTTTCATTTGTTGTCTAGACTTGCTTTTAAATTCTGATAACAATAGATTTCATACAAAAATGGCAAAGAAAAGATTTGAGTGCTGTTAAATATTGATGCTGCCATATTAGAATGATGCATTATTTACTGCAATGTGTACTGGGGAGAAGTACTGTATATTTTTCCTACTTAAAGCTTGACATTAAAGAAGAAATTGAAGAGGAGGAAAAAACTCTTGAAGAATGTGTGGACAAAAAGATGGGAGATGTGGAATTCAGCTTGTTGGAAAAAATGTACGGCCTTGCCACTCAGTGTTTGAACCAGATGAAAAACAAAAGACCAACCATTATCACGGTATGTAATATTTCTATAGATGTGTGGTGGGCCTTATCTGTAAATATTAAACTGAAACGGGACTCTTCTCTTCCCCTATCCATAGGTGCTACATACTCTGGAGGATATAACCTACTCTTCATCTGGTTCCTGAGCTTTTCTTACATAATATGTACATAATATGTGATTTTATATTTAACAGCATTAAGCTCTAAAAGTTACGGGGCCGTCTATTTTCACTACAGGTCGCTAAATGCTTTGACCTGAGAATTAGAACAAGTCAAGCAAATGTATACATTTTAAAGGTTCCCCATCTTCTCTTTACATATGCCTTCTTGATAAAATGAAAATATAGTGGGGGTTTTTTTTAAACTAAGCAGATATTTTGAGTTATAATAGCAGAATTTACCTTATTTTCTTTTCCTTGACTTTCAACATTTTCACTGCTTGTTTTCTATTTTATTGTATTAATGTAGCACTTTGCAGTTCAGCCACTAGGGGGAGTACATAATCAATTTGTAATCACTCCCTCCTCTCTTTATAACAACTTTGGACCTGCATATGGAGGGTATTCAATTCAGTGGATCAGCAAAATCAAATACTTGCACTATGAGAAGGAGCAGTAAAACGGGAATGTAGTGAAGCACAGCAAAAAGAAAAGGAGGCAGAGTCTGTTTATGTAATGAATAAATATTGCTGGTCCCATGTGCATATATAATTACAAACTATACAGAGTTTTTAAAACATCAACAAATATTGAAAAGATTTACATCTAGCTGCCCACTTTCCACTCACTTACCCCTAAGCAGAGACTTAGCTCTTTGTTTATGTGCTAGAAGTGGGGATATGTGCTAGAAGTGGGGATATGTATCTACTTTCTGTCATAAGAAGACATTGCTGTGTCTCATAGTACTTAAGAGGCTTTTCATTTCCTAACTTCGACCGTAATGGCTGTACTGTTTACCTAGAATCACAAGCTCTACACTATAGAACCAGGAAAGCCATATCTTGACCTGATGAGGGCTAATAAGCCTGAAGCAGCTGTATGCAAGTTGGTATAGTTATATTTGTGTTATACAGCATCGGTTCTGTATGCACAGATGGCAAAAAAGGGAATGATTTGCATGACTCTGTCCACTTAAGCAGAGACTGAGCTTCTTGTTTTGGGGTTTTGTACTGTGAAGGTGTGTAAATACTATGACGGACTGCCTGGTACCCCGACTGGGTACCTCCGTCAGAAATCGGCTTCCTCTCCACTGAAACCCGAATTCCAGTGTCCTCAGCCCAAACCTGCCTAATTATTGGATAGAACCAATATATTAGGACAGAAAGCTAAACTCCTCAAACATCAGACAACACCAATGTTGAAGTGGAAATCAAGAACTGCTTTATTGAAGAAAGCACACAGAGTTTATACCTCACTGAATCAGATTAGCGTTCAGTGTTACATTGACCAATCCCCTCCCCCAGACAGCCAGGTGCCGCATTGGAATTCCTTAAGCACAGACATTCTTTGAACCTAATGAATATCCTTAATCGGGTCATCCCAAACAATGGCCACTCCAGACAGCCTGCTGCCTTCACAAAATATGTTTAGCGGAGATAGTAGTCCGGATGGTTCAAATCCAGTCAAATAGTGAAAAGCTCTCTCTCTAGATAAAATATTAAACAGGAAAACACACACAGCAAACAAAGTTCTCCGGGGTAATAAATCTCTGCAGCCCTAGGTCCGTAGTCAGTAGGAAGGAGGCTAGCCCCCAGGCTCCTCCAACAGCCCCAGTGACGGTTCAGTCCGTCACAAATACCTTCTGTTATAAGAAGTCATGTTTATTCCAAATGTACTTTTCAGCATGTCTCAATATACACCCGATTTCCCATCCAAATGTCTCATGCTGTGACATTTCTTCTTGAATATAGAAGGTCAGAAGCAATCCAGGCATAATGCAGGGGGCACAAAAAGGCATTTCTACGGAAAGAAAATTGTATTACAATTATTGATCACTATTAGACTGAAAACTGAATATTAAGTCTTGAATTATTATAACTGTTTCTGCGGAATTGTATTTTCTTGCTATGGAATTTTCCATTTACACTTAACTGTCTGACTTACTGTGATTTAAATATTTTTCCACTGTACTATAAATGATTAAGAAGCAGCTGTTTTGTTAACATCTGTATACAGACAAAAATGTATATTTTGTACTTCCCACCTTCAGTATGCCTATTTTACATGAAATGAATCCTATAGTAACCAGTTTGGGGCAAACATGTTAGAGACTCAAAAAAAAAAAAAAGGTTGGCTGAGGAAACAATCCTGAAATATGTTAATAAAAGGACTTATGTGATCATACCGGAGGAAAGTTTTATGCAAAAATGTGAACCACTTTTCCTATTATAAGGAATTATTCTGCATTCTTTATATTACACAATCATAAAAAAATTATAAGCTGGTCCAATGTACAGCCCTGAGTATTAGGAGCAGAACTCTAAGGATCCAACAATAAAGCAAGTCCAAGATTAAAGATTTTTGGCATTAAGGTTAAGTGCTACGGGTTAAAGAACAACTGCACTTTCAAGGTACACGTACCACACTGTCTAGCTATGCTCAATAATCCTCCCGTTATCCCAGCTACTTACCAGAGGCCGACACTCACAGCCTGCTGCAATGTTTACAATCCCATCTAAACATCCCTCATAGTGGTGTATTGAATGGTGTTAGCAGTGGGTTATTGCCACACACTATACGCCTTAATACCAAACATCACTTGAATGTCACAGCATACCTAAGTGTTGTATCTGATCAAATACACCTTATTCATGGATACTAGATAGGTGTACTTTAGAGACTGTCACCAGATCATTTCACGGACAATCTTTCCATAGGGTTAAATGTGCATTTAACATACTTTAGGCATGTTGTTTACCTGTAAAAGCCTCCATTGTGTAGACATCACACAGAGTGCTGCTGGTGGCCACTATATTGAATGTGATGTGAGCAGCCCCAGGCACTTTATATTAGCAGCATCCACTTCGACAGCTACGTATGAGGTTATGTAGGAAGGAGAGGGGCAGAGGATCTGGGTCAGCACAGACAGTACACACTCAGAGAAGAGGGATATAATGTGGCAGGAGGAAAGAAGAACTGTGGCTGTGTTAGGAAATCCACTCCTAGGAATGGTTGAATTATCTTGCAAGTTCAAAGGCACATTGCAATTGAATACAAAATATTTTATGGAAAGTAAAAACACTGCAAGTAGGAAATCGAAATAGTTGATTTTCCTGTGCTCTTACCTGCAATTTTTTAAAATTTGGGGAAAGGGTATCTTTAATAAAGTGGCCATAAGTATGTTCAGCACATATCTATTTTAACTTGCCCTTAGACAAGCTGATGCACCACTTGTCTAAAAAGGTTCTTGTTATATCTTTTCTTATTTCGGATACACTCTGGAAATGCATACACACAGAGACCTCTGGGAATGGAATAGAAGGTTCTATATCAAATTACTCTATGTGCTATGTTTTCCCCACAAATTCCCATCTAGAAAACAAGAGGCAAACACAGAGATGCTTTTAAAGAAGGTTTATTCACAAATAGTCTTCATCATGTGTAGGATACTTTTGAAATCCATCCCATCATTTTATGATCATATGTACACACCAAAACACATTTTCACCACCATATTAAAAAAATTATTGCAATTAGTCTTGGATTATAAAGTTGCATAACAGCATTGTATCAACTGTAAAACCATGCCATTCTTACAAAATCATTTCATTATACAGAAAATCACACACACGCTATGTCGAAATTTAAAGCATTCGAAAGAAAGGTGCTGACGATTTTAGACGAAGTAAGCTCCAATATAAAAACCAGGTGGAGTCAAGCCAATTCACAGACTGGACTTGATCATTCAAGTATATTGCCATGTCCTAAAGAAAAGGAGTATTTGGTTTTCCTACAGAGAGGGTACAAATTTAATTCCTGAATGCAGTCCGCAGCTAAAATCAGTTTGTGGTACAAAACGTATCTGAATGATCTTTGGTTATGTAAAAGCAAGGCGTTGATGATCATACCAAAACAGCAGAATGATTCTAAATATTAGTTTATCAAAAGCTCAAGATATCTGCCAATGTATGGTTGATTTACTGCATGTAAGCACTTCTCTTTTTCATCTTATATAAAATATATATATCTAATGCATACAAATTTTAAATGGGATGTCCACTTACATAACAAAATGATTATGCTGTATTATGTCAACATCCCAGTTAAGGGAATATTACAACATAAAGAGTGTAAGCCAGACTTGCACCAGCTCCTTGTTCTGAGCAAGGAGCTCTATGTAAAATATCCCTATTTGTGCCTACAGGCAATTGTTCCACCACCTACCTGTACAGCTGCAGGGAGTGCTTATTGCTGGGCCTTGTCAATGCAAGTCTGCTGTATAGCAGTATAGAGTAATGCATTGCATTTTCTTTCTACCATTCCTAGTATTTTGATAATATTATCCTGGCAGTAAGATTCTCAGCTGAACACAAATGTGTAATGATGAAGTAACATGGGCACAGCAGCTGTTATAGCCTCACCCATTATAGCCCATATTGCACTGCAATTATGTATGTGAAATGGTATAATTATTATTCAGGTTGCTCCTACCCCTTCAAAATTACACAGTAGTTAGGTTTCTAGGTGTAAACTCTGCTAAAAGAACACACAACAGTGAGAAGTTAACACGTACGAGTTATGTAACTAAACCTTTCTTATACTTGCTGTCACAGTTATGTTATTAGCAGAAACCAATCGGGTGAAGAGGTCTTTCTTAAAGTGACCCTTTCAGAACAGAGTCGTTTGTATAAAATGAAATGCCTGCTAAAGCGTGACTATACTTACCGTTTCAGGGGCCCGTTTCTCTTTGCAGCTCAATGGCCGCTGCATGTATTCCACACTTCCAGGTGTATAGAATACCTGCTTTCCTTCCACATGCTGTGGTTTCACAGAATGGATTGCACATGGCCAGCAACAAGCATTGTGTGTGGTGGGGTAAAAGTTATGTAACCCATTCAGTTAGTAGAATACCTGCAATTGCCGGAAAGCAGCAAGGAATATGCATTTTTAGCAAATGGGCTGGCTGAAAGGCAAGTATAGTGGCTTTTTTTTGAGCAGGTATGTCATTCTATACAAGTGACCCTGTGCTGACAGCATTTCAACTTTAAAGTTTCTTGAGGGTTAGGTTTTATCAAGAGCCCAAAATAATGACACAAATAAAAAACACAACATCCATTTTGCAGGCAAGTAGAAGACATGAAACATGCCTAAAATCTGCAGTCTAAGTCAGAAGGGCTCTGTTTTAAGCCGTGTCCAAGATTACACCAATATACCTTGTTATTATTGCCTACTACAATAATGATGAGCACTGTGAATGCTTCATTAGGTTCAGGTTTCATGGCTAGTAGAGTTATTACTTAGGATTTCCCTGCATGGAATGAATATAATATGTGATTTCCACTGTGTGCCAATCATATTTCATTTGCACCCCAGCTGTCAATATAGTGTTTTTCATTTTTGTTTTATTTATAAAGTGAGTAGCTTTTAGTGTTGCATAGTTCATTGCCCGTATCTAAAATGGAAGCTGCTACTTATTTAAATGCATACATTTAAACCATATCACTCCACATTATAATATGATGGAATCCTCATTATTATCAATCATTTCTCTCTAATATTATTATCTTAGGTTTACAGATACAGTGCAAACAGTTTGGCTTCCTACAGCTCTGTGTATTTATCAGCCACAGGCAACCAGCTATTCTTATCATGTGCATAGAAATGTAGCATGAGTGGTCAGGATTGGGTGCATGGCAGTGTTCCTAGTGAATAAGAACAGAGGAAATGCATTGTATTACAAGTGAAGTAGAGATAAGTACAAGATGTTCTGCTGAATGACTGAGGTAAATACTTACCGAGTGCTGGTTACTGGAATGGCTGCGCCAGGCAGCCACAGATCAGATTAGGTTTTGCAAGATACTAAAGTCAAGTAAATTATACAATGTACACATATTAAACAAACGTAGTGTTGTCTCTATTACAGAGCTAGAGCAGGATAAAAAAATCTATTGCATATTACCAACCCATTTTAAAAGTAAAACATGTATTTTGATACATTGAACAAATCGGAACCTAATGTCATACCTAAAAAAATGTTAAGTGGGTTGATTTCCTTAAAAAAAAAATAAAAGGAAAAAGTAAAATAAAAAAAAAAATCCTACGTTTCATATTATCAAGCTATGTATTTGAACAAATCAGCACATCAATGCCATGCTGTACAGTCAGTCACTGTGTGAAAGACTGTACACTGTGTAGATCAGCAACACACCTCATTATATATATATATATATATATATGTG